GCCTTAAATGGCCCGGAACACAAATTTTCTGAAAAATAATGTTCTATTTTATCTATGGAATCGTTTATCATTTTATATACGTTTGATTGCAGATGATGAATGGTGCTTTGATGTTACAGGTATCGGCGTCTTTTACAATTTGCACCTGTAATTAGCTATAATTATATGTCTTTACATCCTTCTAATTATAGTGTTTTTGAAATGTTTAGATAGTTCTAAGCTATTGCAGCACTATAAAAAGGACTCTTGTTTTAGGGTACATATACAACTTTGTCGACTGAAAGATTGTGCAAAGTGAAGAGTTAAACAGGTGCGATCTTGAATTTATTGACGGAAATTTATTTTTGGGGGGATAGTAGCTAGATAAAGTAATATTGAAATATAAGGAACAAAAAAGTCATTTAGCATTAGTTTTTAAAAGCAAAAAAGGGTAGTCTAGGATGTTGTTTCAACATTTCTTATATCATAAAAACCTTTTTCCGTATTGTTACAGCCATTTTAATTACAAACAGGGTGTTTATACGACAAAACCAAACGAAACGCAAGATATCATTCCAATGAGTGGCTATAGGAAAGCTTATATCGTATCTAATTCTAGGCCACGCGAAGGGGATTTTAGTCTGTATGCACTTTTTTGTACCAAATATACTATCCAGTATTCCAGTACTTGTTCAGGGGAATGAAGTTGATAAGTACATCCATTGTAAAACGTGTAGTCACAATACAATACAATACAATACAATATAAAGCATATATCACTTCATTATGGAAACATGTTTCTTTCGAACTACGGAGTGCAGTGCTTTTGTTCAGATTTCGTTTGAATTGACAGATTCTCATTAGTTATTTTTTAGATACACACTTGTTGGTTATTTTTTTTTCTATTTGTCGATCTATTGAATGTAGGTGTTTTGTCGTGATTTTTAAGATTATAGCCAATAGAAATAAGAAGATGTGGTATGATTGCCATTGAGACAACTATCCGGCACAGTCCAAATGACGTGGATGTTAGCAACTATAGATAAACGAATGGCCTTCAACATTGAGCAAACGCCATACAATGTAGACAGCTAACTGTATAAAAGGCCCCTACATAACAAAGTTCAAATGACGAAAATACAGGCAATTATAGGTCACTGTACGACTTTCAGCAATGAGAAATGCCCATACCGTCAAGTCAGCTGAAGAAGGACCCGAAATGAAAGACTTCAGACGATAAACTAACGGACTGATTTAAAACAAAAACAATTAACAAAAAAATATACTAGTATAACAGACATGAACCAACGACATCCACTGAATTAACATGTTCTGGACTTGGGAATCAAATCAACAAAAATGTTTACGCAATTTATAAAATATTAGTATGTATTCATCCTCGTAACATTTTATTGGGTGCTTTATAATAAGGCAATTTGTACCATCATCTATTGGTACGTATGTTTAACAAACTGTAGCATAGAGACCTATATATAAAGTAAGCTTCTTCGGCCATGGAGACTTTTCGTATGTCGTTCTTTATATAGAGTTACGAAACTTTAATTTATGATTAAAAAAGTGTTTTTGAAGACCATTATTTTATGATTGTAAACCTCTAGACATCTTATACCTTTTTTTTTGTTGTGTTTCATTGACGTGTAACCAGAACCTTCACTGCTGTTCTTACTAAAATGTTCAATGTTTTTTTGTTGTTCATATTTGCGAAAGCATTTGTCATTAATTATGTTCTATTCTCCCGTTTTTAGATGTAACCTCAGTCTTTTATTATAAATTTTCGTCTAATCTCGGTCTTGTCTTGTCCTATGAATGTTAGTGTACTCTCGATTTTGTCTTGTCCTAAGGGTTTTAGTGTACTATCGATTTTGTCTTGTGCTATGGATTCTTGCGTATTCTCGGCCTTGTTTTGACTTTAAGATTTTTAAGTGTTGAACTTCTCGCAGTCTTGGGTTATCCTGTGGATTTAAGTGAAATCTCCGTCTTGTACTTTCATTTGAATTTGAGTGTAATTGTGGTCTTGTCTTGTCCTATGGATTTAGTGTAATATGTGTCTTGTCGTGTCGTAATGATTAATTATTATCTAGGTTTCTTTGGATATTAAGTCTTGGTATTTTCTTGTATCATGGATTTTTGTCTAAACTCGGTCTTGTCTTGTCCAATGGATTTTAGTATACATGAAGTCTAAGTCAAACTATCGTGTTTGTTTAGTGTAATCTCGGTCTTGTCTTATCATTGGGATTAAATGTAGTTCCAGTCTTGTCTTGTACTATAGATCAAGTGTAATCTCGATCTTGTCTTGTCTCATGGATTTTAGTGTAATCTCAATCTGGTCTGGTCCTATGTATTAAATATAATCTTGATCTCCAAAAAGAGGCGGAAGATACTGAGTAGACAATGAAAGTTCATAGGTTAAGGAGAAACCAACAAAACAATGATAGAAAAACAACGAAAAAAGGCTATCAACAGTCTACAAAACGCTATATAGAAAACTAAAGAGGAACACCCCCTCCTGAAGAAAAGGGGGGTTGGAAGGCTTAGCAGACCTGCTCCACATGTGACACCCGTCGTGTTGCTCATGGTAAGAACAAAATGGTTATTATTTTTACATGAATTTTCGATATAACTGGCTTCCATTTCTTTCCAACCATTATTGTAAAAACAATAATTATATTCTCTTTGCAAAAACTATACATCTTGGCCTGTTTTCTGCTTTTTTGTCGGGTTGATGTCTATTTGACACCTTCCCATTTCCATTCTCAATTTTAATTAACTATGAAACCTATTTTCATATGAATAAGATAAAGAATAATTGTTAATAGAAATAAAATTATAGTATGTCATTAAAAAAAGATATTGCTTGAACTTTACGACATTAAACTTTTTTTTGGATTATCTAGATTCTATGGATTTTTACCTCTTACAATAATTTCATTAAAGATTGCCATTGGTCCTTTTGGCTACTAAACATGAAGATAAAATACAGCAGACAACTTAATTCCTATTGTTGTTCTAAAATTACCTTTGATTTTTATGAATAATGTGTTAAAAAGTTACTAATGTATGATACTGAATTTGCAGACACAAGTCAAAATAATACGTCTTCTCAGACACCAGTCAAAGTAATACGACTTCGCAGACATCAGTCAATATAATACGACTTCGCAGACACCAGTCTAAATAATACGACGTCTCAGACACCAGTCAATATAATACGACTTCTCAGACACCAGTCAATATAATATGACTTCTCAGACACCAATCAATATAATACGACTTCTCAGACACCAGTCAAAATAATACGACTTCTCAGACACCAGTCAAAATAATACGACTTCTCAGACACAAGTCAATATAATATGACTTCTCAGACACCAGTCAAAATAATACGACTTCTCAGACACCAGTCAAAACAATACGACTTCTTAGACACCAGTCAAAATAATACGACTTCTCAGACACGAGTCAATATAATAAGACTTCTCAGACACCAGTCAATATAATATGACTTCTCAGACACCAGTCAAAATAATATGACTTCTCAGACACCAGTCAAAATAATACGACTTCTCAGACACCAGTCAATATAATGTGACTTCTCAGACACCAGTCAAAATAATGTGACTTCGCAGACACCAATCAATATAATACGACTTCTCAGACACCAATCAATATAATGTGACTTCGCAGACACCAGTCAAAATAATACGACTTCGCAGACACCAGTCAAAATGATATGACTTCGCAGACGCCAGTCAAAATATTAATATGATTTCGCAGACACCAGTCAAAATAAATTAAAATACCTGTATTAATAAAGTAATATGTTCAACACATCCTAAATTTTTTCATATATACATGCTAGTAACGAAAAATAAGTAACATTTATTATGATAGACATGTCAAATTTATGTATATTCTGATTAACATGTTATTCATGTTAATTCGTATAAAAATGTTTCTGTATCATAGATAAAAAAAAGAGACACCAACCTCACAAAAAATTAGAACAAAATCGTGAGAAAACTATTGCCTGGTATTGCAATATTGAAGTTAGTTACTTGGATCGTCTCCCCTTTAACATACATTCTTTTATGTACATCTCGAGAGTTCCATCAATGTCCATCAAGCCAGTTAGGATGAGATGCGATTACAAGGCACGAGGACAGACAGACAGGCAGGGTGATTCCGATATGTCCCCTCCCCCGAGACAATTTTCTTTAAATTCTTTTCTTTGTAAGTTTGCTATTATTTTTGTGTGTGTTCTTTTAATTGTAAGTTGTTTGACTGGAACAGTTTTGTCATGCGTCAATTTAAACAAAAAAATTATTAACCTTTCCATAAAAAAAGAAAGTTTCACCTTTGCTCTGTATCAATCTCCACATTGAATAAATTTAATAGAAATTTTCAAAAGTCTGAAACCAACACCAAATTCCATGTGAAGGAAAAACATACAATAGCATTCTATTAAGGTTCTATAAAATCAAATGGCATAAAAATAGGTATTACTTGATGCAATGACATTTAATTAATTTGGTCAGCAATTCCGACGTCATTGTGAGGTAGCTGAAGTCAATAACATTTTAAGCACTAGCTTCTTGTAATTTTACATATGATCATAGTGATATTTTTTTTTTTGCATTTTACGGCTAACAGTAGTATTATATCAAACAATTGTATCGTTTAAGAGAAAAATATTCAGAAAAAATAACAAAGGACAATGACTGATGTAGACGACTTTAGATCAACATACGGTCTTCAACAATTAGCATCTTCCCTTTTTAAAACAAATTTTGGTTTCAATAAATTTAAATTTAGAATCAACCAATGCATTAAAAAATATAACTAACCCTCCACCAAGGACATAAAAGTGTAAACTAATTTTAGGCGAACATTAAGCAGAAAATAAACTATATCCAAAATTACGCAAAAATTGATTATGTTCGTATACCGTAATTATGTACAAATACATTGGACAGGTACCACATGACGTGTACTATAAATGTACTTACTCAAACACACCGAACGATTCGAGTACACCACGTAAACGACATGGACATGGCTCACAACTTTATTTTGGTATGGTACTTTAGATGTTCAAGCTTTCACAAACTTAACTGATACATTATAATTTGTCATCGTGGCTTTGTTTTTTCACATTGTAATTCATTATAAAGAATAAGCAACATTGAATCATATGCATTATCATTGGTTTAACGTGCCGAATTATTTGGAAGATTAGATTTCTCAGAATACACTAAAAATATAATAAAATCTGGTTATAATGCATTTATTTCATAGACACAATATTCAGTTGATCTTTTCCCCTACCCTACCCCACCCCACCCCTCTTCCCACACACACACATACTGTTCAGGGGTAAATAAACAGATAAAATAAAGTTGTAATATAAAATTGTGTTTTTACTGTACATCTTAACTAATTTACAAAAGATATACACATGTTAAAATTATGAAATAGAATATAATTTAATTAATGGTTTTCACAATGGGCAACATGAGATTATTACAATAAACAATTAAACAAACACAAAAAAAGATGGAAATAGATACTTAATAGAGTAAAAAGGAGAAAAAAAAGAAAAGGAATAAACTCCATTCATGTACATGTATCAATAATTTGTCTTGTACATATTGTAATCAAAGTACTGAAGTACTGAACATCGGATGACCGCAAGTTCTTGTGGATTGTCAAAAGCACTTGTCACAGAAAAAAATCACATCTCTATACCTGAAATTGAGGTTAATGTATAGAGATATGTTTTTTTCTGAGACAAATTCGTGCGTGGATGATGAATAAATGACAGGAAATTCAACCTCACCGTAATAACTATTATATTGTAGTTATACAAATCAGTATACACTGGTTTGTTGTTATATATTATATTAATATAACAGTTACATGTATATATAATTTTCATCCATTTGTATATCATTCTATTCTACTATTCTAATAAGAGTGCAGTGCAAGAGCATGGTGGACACTCTTCTGTAAAAATTCTAAAAGATTGGATATGAGTAGGCATTCATATTTTCCCGCAAAAACAATCTTCCATGCAGAGTTACCGGTCCTTGCCGGGATTGTCGCAAAATGTTCTTGAGATATTCTTCCGCATGTTTACCATATCAATGATTTTTTACTTATATATATATATATATATATATATATATATATATATATATATATATATATATATATATATATATATATATATATATATATCTTACGACAACAAAACATTTTCATATTATTGATTTATGTTCTAAACAAAAATATTGTTATCAGTATTCATTGAAGAGATGTATTTATAACAAACGATAAGGAATGTTATTTTGCACTCGTTAATATCCGCGTATTTAGCATGTTTATAGATCGGTTACAAACTCAAAACGAAAGTTACGTAATGGAAATCTAGGCGATAGCAATACATCGAAATACCCTCACGGTCATCGCGATGTAAAAATCAATAACATCCAAACAAGTAATACACATACATAAATCGACGGTAAGGACTAATATAAAAATTAAGGCAAATGAGAATATGAAAAAAATCACTCGCAAAATATATAAAATATTTTTGTCTTCATTGTTTGATATAAATTTATTTTGAACCTTTCATCCTCGTTTATTGGGGTTTTTTTTATTCTTTTTTACTTTATGTGATATGAGAGTAAAAACGTGTATTCTGACAAATTTTCTACTTCATTCTTTTCTCCACATTTACATCAATTTGAAATTCTTTAGATATATATCTATATCTTTCAGTTTCTATGAATAATTTATATAAAGATATTCTTAACCTGTAAAATGCTTTTCTGTAATGAAGTAAATTTTCTGCAACAATTTTTTTTGTTTTAAGAAAAGTAATATAAAAAAGGGAGATGTGGCATGATTGCCAATGAGACAACTATCCATCAAAGTTTAAATGAAGTGGATGTAAGCAGTTATAGGCAGTCGTAGTACATATAATGATGTATCTTATTTTCTAGACATTATTTATCTTACCACTTATTTTTATGTCAACAGTGGTAAATATAAATAAGAAGATGTGGTATGAGTGCCAATGATACAACTCTCTATCCAAGTCACAATGTATAAAAAGTTAACAATTATTATAATAGGTCAAAGTACGGCCTTCCGAGCCTTGGCTCACACCGAACAGCAAGCTATAAAGGGCCCCAAAATGACTAGTGTAAAACAATTCAAAAAGGAAAACCAACTGTCTAATCTATATAAAAACGAGAAACACCTATGAACCACACCAACGAACGGCAACCACTGAACAACAGGCTCCTGTGGTAAAGCTTGGTTTAAAATGAAGTCAATATAATATGCAAGAATGAGTATTTAAAGGGGCATTATCTACGAGATATAAAAAAAAATAAATATGATTTTTTTTTGTTCGATCATTAATGAAATTGAAATAGTGAAATAATAATTCGAATTTTGTCAATATAAGAAACATCGCTGCTGAATTATTCACTTGCAAGTGTATAATTTGACCTCATTGAATGCGTATTCATGTGACTTTCAATTTAACCCCTTAGCTGGAGACAGGTGACGCATGTATTCAACTATTATTGGAAATGAATGTAAACATTGAAAGTAAAAAAAGAATGAACCATTTGGTTGACTGATTCGATCCACAAAAAATCATTCTCAGACAGGTTGAAACGATGATAAACATACTTTTTAACGTACAATATGAAATCAAGCAGACCTAGAAAAATCCAATTGCATGTGGTCGCTATCTATTTATATTTATGTTGATGCCCCTTTAAAAAACAAACAAATACTGGTGCATTTTTGAGATTTATTATTTTCAAATTTCCAAATGATGGTTACACCACGTCCGGTCTCTGTTTTCGTTAGATTTTTTTGCTTTGTAACGATCTGATGAGTAAAGACCTTTTTGAGTCTGTTCTTATTTTGTACTGTTACATACACCATTTTCCCAGGTTAGGGGAGGGTTGGCGCCTTCAAACTAGTTTAACACCGCCACATTCTATATGTGCATGTCCCATGTCAGGAGCCCATAGTTCAGTGGTAGTCGTTTGTTCATGTCTGTCATATTTGATTTTCATAAATTGTTTTGTTATAATTTAGGACGTTAGTTTTCTCAATTGAATTGTTTCGTATTTTTCCTATCGGGGCCTTTTGAAGTCGACTATACGGTATGGGTTTTTCTCATTGTTGGAGGTCGTACGGTTGCCTATTATAAATTATTGCTCACATCCACTTCATTTGAACTTTGGTTGATAGTTGTCCCATTGGCAATCATACCACATCTCCTTATTTTTAGGTCTTTCCACTTTTCTGTGGAAAGACCTATTGCTTTTCTTCTGATTATTATTTTTAGGTCTTTCCACTTTTTTGTGGAAAGACCTATTGTATTTGTTCTGATTATTTTTTTTTTCTTCTTCCGCCACTTTTATTACTTGCGTGTAACTTTTGTTTCGCAAGATGTCGCTTGGATGTTTGGTATATGATATCGTATAGTTTATGCGCCTTTGAAACTAACCCTGCTTAACCGTATACTTTTCTTCGTAAGAGTTATCTCCCCAAACACTATTTTAGATGTGGGTGCATCTCCTTCGTAACCATAAAAGAAATCGACAAATTTATTTTTCCAAATTGCTCGTTATATCCTTAGGATGTTTTATCCAGTTTTGACCGAACGATACGCACACTCCATATGAGAGTTATTTTCCCTTCTGTACTTCACATAAGTGATATTTTAATGTATCACATCAATGGTAAGTGGTAGATACCTAAGTATTTTGATCTTAGATCCTTGGTTCACAAAAATGAATTTGTGGTCAAGGTCATGGTCTCAATTTTGAATTCTCCTTGTTTTATGATCTGTTCTGACACTTTTACAGATATATATAAAAGAACTAAGGGAGCTACCATTTGATTTTTATGGGGGGGGGGGGGGGGCGGTGGTGCTAGGATGAAATTTGAAAAAAATAGGCAGGACAGGAGTTTTGAGTAAAAAAAAGGCAGGATGAGACACTTTGCAAAAAAAAAAGGCAGGATGACGATTTATGTAAAAAATAAGTCAGGATAAACTAATAAAAAAAAAAGGCAGGACCGAATAGAGTGAAAAATAAAAAGGCAGGACAGAGATTACAACTAAAAAATGCAGGACAAAATTTTTCATCCTAGTACATAGAAACTATATATTTTTAGAATCAGTGTAAATACAGCTATCATATGAGACCGGAAGTGACATTTTCTAAACCAGAAGCTGGCAATTATCTCCCTTATTTCAGGCAAAAGTGTATAGAAACCATATATTTTTGTAATCGGTATGAATAAAGCTATTATATGAGACAGGAAGTGACATTTTCTAAACTGGATATAGCAAATTATCTCCGTTATTTTAGACAACAGTATATAAAAAAAACACATATATTTAATCAGTATGAAGAAACTTATCTGGATTGGACGCCAAATAAAAACCATAGGTAGCTTCTCATCAATTATTTAGAAAATTGATGTGGAAAGACCTTCAATTGTTCTCTGAACAATTGGTTTTTAATTATTTTTATCTTCTTCCCCTAAATTTTGTTCTTGCGTGTAATTTTTGTTTCGCAACATATCTCTTAAATATGTGGTATATGTTATCGTACAGTTTATGCGCTTTTAATTTTGACCCTGCTTAGCGGAACAATATTCTTTATAAGATTATCTCCCCAAACACTGTTTTGCTTGTGTGTGCATCTCCTTTGCAACCGTAAAAGAAATCGACAAATTTATTTTTCCAAATGGCTCGTTAAATCCTCAGAATGCTCACTCAATTTTCATCAAAGAGATACTGAGACTCCATATGAGTGTTATTTCCCCTTTTGTATTTGACATGAGTGGGATTCAAATGTAACGCATGAACTGTAAGTGATAGAGACCTAGGGTATCTTGATTTGAGGTCCTTGGTCCACCAAAAAGAAAATGGTGTCAATGTCAAAGGTCAAGGTCATTTTTAAAATTTTGCCCTTTGCTTGTGTGTGCATCTTATCTCAATGTATAAAAGCTAGATACAAAAGAACTAATATAAAATGTTTGGGTTGTTGAGACGGAGAAATAATACATCAGTCCGAAGCGATCTGATGATAACTTATAGGAGTTATTGCCCCTAAAATGTTAGTATTAATGGTAAATCGAATATAACTTCATTGCAATACATGACAACGCCATAGTGTCTTTTGCAAAGAGTTGGGTGACACATGACCTTGAAAATAATCAACCGGAAGTGACCTTGTGAAAACCTAAAGTAGCTACTTTTGCACTTATTCAAGTTAGGTTAGGTTAGAATCAGCATACAATAACCTTTTATTGACACCGGAAGTTACCTTCTGTAAACCAGAAGTAGCTAATTATCTCCCTTATTGAAATAAAAGTATATAGAAACCATATATTTTCGGAGTCAGTGTAAAGTAAGCTATCTTATGGCACCGGATGTGATCTTCTATAAAGAAGTGGGGGATTATCTACATTATTCCAAGTGATTGTACATATAAACCATATATCAGCGCATAGCAAGGTATCATATGAGGCAGTAAGTGATAATTTCTAAACCGGAAGTTGCAAATTATTTCCCTTATTTCAGAGAATAGTATATAGAAACCATATAATTTTTTAATCAGTATGAAGAAATCTACGTTTAAACCCCAATAGTAACTTGAGTAAACCGGAAGTAGCATCTTAATTTAGTAGCATAGAAATTTAATGTGGAAAGACCTTCAATTGTTCTCTGAACAATTGGTTTTTAATTATACCTGAATTTGTTCATGTATTGTCCATGAAAATCAATACGATTCACCACAAGAGAGAGTCGAAAGATACAAAAGGGACATTCAAACTCATAAGCCGAAAATAAACTGACAACGGCATGACAAAAAAGAAAAAGACCAAAAGGCAATCAACCGTATGCAATTATTTAATGCGGGGAAATTCTCAAACATTTCAACCAACTTAGTCTATTTTGACAGCTTCTGTACAATAAAAAAAAAATAATTACACACGAAAGTCCAGGAAAGCTTTTAATTTTCGAAAACATAAAATGCATTTTTTTATCTAGTTCCTTTCGTACATTAAAACATTTCTAGGTGCACAAATCTTTCTGCACTCATAGTAAATTTTGTGGTTTATACACGACCATTTTTGTCAATAATTTTTGAAACACCCCAGTCATTTAATTTTTCTCTGGACGTTTTAAGCAATCAACAATCACCTAATTCATTGTGTTGATTTTTTTTTATTAAGTAAGTCACAACCATACTCAGGGTGTCTTATTTCAAAATTCATATCAAGTACTACAAACAGAAAACTCGTAATAAATTTTGCCAGATAAAACGGTCAATTTAATAAATGATCCTGTAAATTAAATATTACAATGATCTGTAGATATTGTTCTAAAATAAACTGATACACTCGTTCGTCAGACTATCCAGATATGCGGTATTGGTTTGATCATTGTCGAAGGCCGTATGGTTATAGTTGTCTTTGCAACGTTTCTAGGACATTTTAGGAAAGAATAATTCAAATGTCAGTTTTATGTCTTTATTAAACAACTGTTTATGATAATGTGCTTATACTGATTTGGTTTTTAATTATATAAGTAATATCACATGCAATTTGTCCGAATCATAAATAAAGGTGTCAGACCACCAATTTAAAATCACTATTTTTTTCTTCCAAATTTTGCAATTTTCACAGCTTTCTAAATATTTTACCTTAAGGTTAACTTCATAGAAACCAGGTATTTCATGAATTGTACATGCATCACCTTTCTATATGCCAATTTTCAACCAATGTTTAAAGTCTTGTAGCGAAATACTACATTCGGAAGTCAATTATGGCTCAAAATGGTCTACATATATTTCTCTTTCACTAAAACTTTCATTTCTGAACATTTGTTTGTTAGTTTAAAAAACAATGACATCAAAAGCACTATTTTTGTCAGGAAAGAGCTACTTTTACACTTTCTAAATTGAAGTGGGTGAATTGGTGGTCTGACACCTAAAGGGAGATGTGGGATATACATCAATGAAACAGCAACCCAAAAACACAAAACAGCAAAGATATCTAAAAAATCAACTACAATCTTCAATAATACACAGGTGTTTATACAATACGTAAAGTCTAAATCGGTCCGAGAATAAAATGGTTTTGAAAAATATAACACGGGCGATCAAAGATCTGCCATCAATTCCCAAAATGACAAGAAATTATTTACATATATCTAAAGACAGCCTCTGACTAGGTTCCTGATTTGGCACATGCATATGAACATTTGGAGGGGTTAAACTGTTTAATCTTCACCAGTGGAATTATTGTTTGATTGTTTTTATGTACGTCCAGTGGCAAATATTTCATGGTGTTTCGGGACGATAATCTGTTGAAAATAAGTACGTCCTGTAATAAGGGTCGACCTGGACGAAGGGAGGGAAATTTGGAATGCCACTTGAAAATGAGGGTATATATCGGGTAGGAACGAAAATTTAGCCTTGCAACAGGCCACATATAAGTACCCCAATATAAGAGTTGTCGCAAGGGTAACTATTTAACATACAAAGAGCGTGGCTCTCTCTACACGAGACATAGGATTTAAAGTCTCATTGTAATTCCATGGCATTTTATAGCTTTCTATATGGTATGGGGTTTCTACATTGTTGAAGACCGTAAGGTAACCTGTAAATGCTAGCACCCTTGTCCTGTGTTTTTTTGTGAAAATTTGTCTTATTAGCAAACAATGACACTGTGAAAGCTTATTTGTTCTTCCTACTTTACAGAAGTTCATCTGGTTTGTAAATAGAAATAAGAAGATGTGGTATGAGTGCCAATGAGACAACTCTCCATCCAAGTCACAATGTGTAAAATGTAAACAATTATAGGTCAAAGTACGGCCTTCAAGACGGAACCTTGGCTCACACCGAACAGCAAGCTATAAAGGGCCCCAAAAAGACCAATCTAATTAAAATATAGTTCTCTGATTTCACTCGTATGGAATCAGAGAACTATATTTTAATTAGATTGCAAAAAAACTAGTGTAAAACAATTCAAACAGGAAAACCAACAGTCTAATCTATATAAAAAACGAGAAACGAGAAACACTTATGAACCACATCAACAAACGACAACCACCGAACAACAGGTTCCTGACCTGACGTAGGACAGGTGCAAACAAATGCAGCGGGTTTAAACGTTTTAACAGGCGCCTATCTTCACCATAACCTGAAATAGTAGTGTAACATTACAACATTGTAACATTGTTACATAGAGAATATTATGTTTATTTTCAATAGCACACCCTTATCAACTTGAGACTATACCAATAGAGTCTCAAGAGCTCAGCTCGTTGGGTTATATTTGCTGAGGGTTGAAGTATTTACTACTAATTTTCTGATAAACAATGATATAGTATCCTTCCAGGATGCAACTACTATTTATAACCTATATTTCGTTAGGAAAACATACTGAAATATTTCTTCCAGTGGAAAGAGTATTCCATATATTTTATTCGTTTGCAATTGTATGAAAATAACACTCCTTGCCTCCAAGCGCTTTTCTTGATTGACCTTCATCGGGAACACTCAAACCCAAACATTTGAAAGCCCCGGATGATTAAGACAAAAACGGCATTTTTTTACTGACCGATATTAAAGGAAGAAGATGAACTGCCCCCTTAAAATACTAGTTTAAGCCTGCCATATTTTCATATGTCTGTCTAAAGTCAGTAACTTCGCATAACTTTAAAACTTGCTGTAGAGAATTTTGTGTTGCTTTCATATCTTTGGTCGTCTTTCACTTTTCTAGAATCAGGCCGATCTAGCCTTAGACCTTTAATTTTTGCAACACGGTTACGTATTAACACAGATTGTAGTTTTCGTGCTGGTTTCATTTTTATTTCATTTTAATATTCCGTCACTATATATATCTCTGTTTTACAGCTGTTACAGATAACTGTGTTGTTGTGTGTGTTGGTAGATTCGACATCAGCCCATGGTGCAGATGAAGGTAATTAATTACACGCGATTAAGGGGTGCCCAACACTTTGACTAAAATAGATTTGGCTCGTTTATTTAATTGTCATAGAATTTTTACAAAAAACGTTCTTCTATCTGTTGACAAAAATATAAACACACTATTTAGAGGAATAATTTCATTCGAATATAGCAGCTTGACACACATTATTTTGATCATTGAGAAGCTTGATTTCCCTTTACGAATAGTATGTGATAAAAAACGTTCAGCTTTTTAAAGGTTGAACTTCCTTAGTTTCTGTAACCGCTTAAAAGATGGTCTATCTATCTTATCTTGCCGCAATTTCACTACTTAGAAGGTAAATATACAAGTATTTTACCGCGGTTTATTGTATTGTCGTTACGTTTTTCATAAATATTCATATAGCATAACAAAATTGACGAATCAGGAAGTCGAATTTATATACGTGTTTGTTAATTAATGTTGAGGTCCGACACTTTTATTCGAAGAAAGGATCGAGCATTGGCATCGGATACAGGTTTCCATTCATATTTATATATAAATAATGATTTCATTGGTTTTCCTGGACGGCAATGACTATCTATGACGGGTAAAAATTCAGAGATATAAGTGAATACAGTATTTACACATTGATATATGTAATACATTGTATATGTTTGATATTTGTAAAATGTGTACTGCTGGACATTATTTGAGACGGGCTGTCGGCAAATTTACATTTGTGTTTTAGTTATATTTAGTCATGGAGTATAGGTAATACCATGTACTACATGTAATTCAATCAATCTATACATGAATATATACATGATAAAATTGAGAATGGAAATGGGGAATATGTCAAAGAGACAACAACCCGGCCAAAGAGCAGATAACAGCCGAAGGCCGCCAATGGGTCTTCAACGCAGCGAGAAAATGCCGCACCCGGAGGTGGTCCTTAGCTGGCCCCTAAATAAAAATGTGTACTAGTTCAGTGAAAATGGACGTCGTACTAAATTCCAAAACATATAAATGAACTAAAATTAAAAAAACATACAAGACTAACAAAGGCCAGAAGCTGCTGACTTGGGACAGGCGCAAAAGTGCGGCGGGGTTAAACATGTTTTGTGAGATCTCAACCCTCCCCTATACCTCTAGCCAATGTAGAATAAAGAAACACACAGCGATACGCACAGTAAAACTCAGTTTAAAAGAAGTCCGAGTCCGATGTCAAAATAGGTAATAAAAGAAACTATAGAAACAAAATGACAATGATACATAAATTAACAAAGGACTATTAGCAGTTACTGACATGCCAGCTCCAGACCTCAATTAAACTAATTGAAAGATTATGTCTTCGTCATATGAAAATCATGTACAATCCCTCCCGTTAGGGGTTTAGTATCATACCATCATAAAATATATGAGAAGAACATAACCCGTATCATGCCAACAACTGGTTTTAGAATAAATGTGTTTATTTCCGATGCAAGGACCCTATGAGTGAATCAATATTAATACCAAAATATGCAATCCTTAATGACTTGACAACAGTATCGTAACTATATCCCTTCCGAATAAGTCTGTTTAAAGGTTTGGTTAGCTTTTGAGGTGAATGCCGACATTTTTGTGCTTTGTAAAGAATATTACCATAAATGATTGGATGTGAAATACCTGAATGTATAAGAAGTCTGCATGTTAATTTATATTTCCGAATGATGTCCTTGTACCGATGATAAAATTTAGTAAATGTTTTGACTAGTTTGTGATATCGAAAACCCTGGTGTAATAATTTTTCAGTAATACAGAGATTTCTTTCGTTAAAATCAAATACGTTGTTACATACACGAGCGAATCGAACAAGTTGAGATATATAAACACCATGCATAAGATGGTGACAAGGGAACGTCACCATTTAAAAATTGAATAATTAACAATAGGAAATGAAAAATCATCTCTTTTGTCATAAGTTTTGGTATTAAGCTTCCCGTTAAAGATATAGATATCAAGATCCAGGAAAGGGCAGTGTTCATTGTTAGTATAAGCTTTATTTTAAGGTCAGTTCGGCAGGATAAATCTCTTTAGTGTACATACTGAAGTCGTCATTATCGAGAGCCAATATATCATCTAAATATCTAAAAGTGTTATTAAATTTTTTAATCAGATGTTGTTTCGATGGGTCTTTGCTGATTTTAGTCATAAATTGTAACTCATAACAATACAGAAACAGGTCCGCAATAAGTGGTGCTCAGTTAGTCCCCATGGAAATTCCAATAACTTTACGATATACGGAGTCTCCATAGCGAACAAAAATGTTATCTACTAAAAATTCAAGGGCAGTTATAGTATCAAAGCAGGTCCAATTGACATAGTTCTTTTGTTTGTTGTTACTAAAAAATGACCTAAAAGAGTTTGAGCATATATATTCGCATTCTGACTTTTTAAATGCCCATTTAATCAGGTGTGTGAATGTTTTCTTAATAAGATTATGAGGCAAAGTGGTATATAGGGTAGAAAAATCAAAACTTTGAACAGATTCGAAATCACCAATATAATTGACCTTTTTCACACTACGTAAATAAATACGACTGAAAGTTCAATAACTTGTTATTGATCTGTGCATGTTAAGGTTCCACTAAAGTAAAAATATAGGACACTTCATAAACATGTAATCTTTGCCTGTATTTTTCAACCTATAATGAGTAAAGTCCTAAACTATGAGAACATATGTTCATTTAAACATACTTAACATATACACACTGTATAAATTGTAAATAAACTTGAAATTGTTATGTTGTGGCCAAACCGGTTCTTGGGGTGAACACTAAATTTTCAAAAAAATCTGGAGGCCTACGAGACGACTTAATTTGCTTAAAATTGGTATGGACGAATACTGTTACATGTAATGCAGGGCAAGCTCATGTTGATTTGTCACATACATATGTTTTAATGGCATATTTGTCCAATTTCTGTATTGTACTTTCGATATTTGTTCACCTAGATACATGAAATTAACTGAAACTCGAAAATCAATACATTTTCTGAAAAATCAACATGAGCTTGCCCTGCATTACATGTAACAGTATTCGTCCATACCAATTTGAAGCAAATTAAGTCGTCTTGCAGGCCTCCAGATTTTTTTGAAAATTTAGTGTTCACCCCAAGAACCGGTTTGGCCACAACATAACAATTTGAAGTTTATTTACAATTTACACAGTGTGTATATGTTAAGTATGTTTAAATGAACATATGTTCTCATAGTTTAGGACTTTACTCATTATAGGTTGAAAAATACAGGCAAAGTTTAGATGTTTATGAAGTGTCCTATATTTTGACTTTAGTGGAACCTTAACCTTACGCTATTTGTTTCTATGTTCAAATGTTAATGTATGTTATTGCTTTCTATCGAGCTTGGTTGCACGTGCGTTCTTCGGTAAATGAACCAGCCAATAGAAACTCGTTAACGAGAACGCAGTTGCCAAAAGTATAAACTAGTTATGTTGATCTTTTATAGCAGTATTTTAAACGTAGTATATGTTAAACTCGATTACATATTAAATAAGGTATGACAGTTAACTCAAATATACATTAAATATTTTGAACAAGGATACAGATTTCTGTTACAATGTATTAGGCAAAGATTGTATGTATGTAACTAATGTCAATAAGATTATATCACCGTGGTATCTTCGTGTATTTGATTTTGTTGAGCAATAGGGCGCATCTTAAATCGAAATATAATGCAATGTTGATGGCATCAAAATCATTTCAAATTCGTACTTAGAACCTGGCGAGATGGTGTACAAATAAAGGTGACAAAATGAGTGTGGAGTAAATGTCAACCAGAAACCATCGCATATATCAAATAGACTAGAAATAAGACTTATATACACCTTTTCTATATATTATTAAAAGTATGTGTATCAACTTGTACGTATTTATATGACCAATAAGAAAGATGTAATCCAATCATGCACTGGTCATAAGTGAAATTTCTCTGCACGTGAAAACATGTTATCTATTTTCAACAATTTATCGTTTATATTAAGTAGGACAACTCTGACCCATTAACCAGACTAGAGACATCATAAATTTACAGTATAAATAGCTCACTCTTTATTTAAGTCTTAGTAATAAATAATTCATAAAGAATTATCTTCTCTGCTGTCTTAAATTATTTTATTCGGCTTAATTTTCAATTAGCAAATAAAATTGGTTATATTAGCAAGGAATTTGTGCGCCTTTTCGTAACTGTTCCCCCTCCCGACCAGTAAAAAATACTTCGGGCTATAAAAAACGTTCGTTTGTTGTCTCGTGTGTGGCTGTCCTATATTTAAAAAAAATGCCAATGATACTTTTCGGTTAGTTTTACAAAACTGTTTGGTGTTGAATAAAATAAAACCCTGTGATTGGCTGGGTTATAGAAATACCTTCTACATTGAAATCTTCCTTTATGCAGTAAGATGTTATGCAGAGGAAGGGGTCCTTTGCTGTACAGGATGCTTATGTACGTCTCTACGTTTTTATACGTCCCTGGCTTTCAAATATTTGGGTTTGGGTTCATGCGTTTGTAAATCCAGAAAAACGCTTCGGACGCACAAAATTTATAACGTGTTATTTTCATTCATTAACAATTATATTTATTTCTTTTTCAGCTAACCCTTGCACTAGTTCACACTGTCAAAATGGTGGCACGTGTAGACCTGACGGTCAATCATTTCGTTGTGATTGTCACGAGGGATATGGCGGAGATTTCTGTAACCTTGGTTAGTATGATATTCTGTAACTATTTCTATTTCACGGATAATTGGAGAAACATTCTGTCGGTATCATTTACAAATTGATATATTTGTCGGTAACCACTTTCAATGTAAATGATCTAAAAAACAAGCTCAGTGCGACATCTGGTCATTTACGTATTTAAAATCTGTGATATTTAAGGGTTAAACAAATGCATTTTTTTACTTATTTTGAAATGCATATTTGTTGATAAATTTTACTTCAAGTAACTTTATTATTTGTGCCATTTTGATATCAGATGGCAGGTAACATACAACTTTCATAGAAAACTGGCAACTATATGATACAACTTGTATTTACACTTAAAGCTTTGGTGTGAGAGCAGTACGGAGCATTATTTTCTGTGTTAAAAGGATATAGAAAAGTACGGAAGCCGATAAGGGCCATTCAAAAAAAAAATTTTATGTCGTAATTACGACATAACATGTCGTAATTACGACATAACATGTCGTAATAACGACATCACTATGTCGTAATTTCGACATAACATGTCGTTATAACGACATCGCTATGTCGTAATTTCTACATAACATGTCGTTATAACGACATCGCTATGTCGTAATTTCGACATAACAAGTCGTAATTACGACAACACTATGTCGTAATTACGACAACACTATGTCGTAATTACGACATAGCTATGTCGTAATAACGACATCGCTATATATATAAAAGAATATGTATTATGATTGCCAAGAGACTAAATGACACAGAAATTAACAACTATAGGTCATCATAATGCCCTCACTAATGAGAAAAGCCCCCGGATAGTTAGCTATAATAGAGGGACGAAAGATACCAGAGGGAGAGTCCCCGAAATGACAGCTGTTTAACAATTTAATTCAAACGAGTGAAAATAACGGTTTTAATAATGTACAAATAAAGACCGAAACACGAATATGTAACACAGCAACAAATGACAACCACTAAATTACAGACTCCTGACCGCTATGTGATAATAACGACAACCTTATAGTTTAACTTTTCACTTTTTGAAGCGATAGGAATTTCAAAATGGTCGCCAGTAAAGGCAAAGTTTGTATCGTAAACAAATTCATCTTTTTTTTTTTGAGAATATTGAACACTTTATGCAATCAAGTTTAATTAAAGTTATTCACTAGCACCTCAGACTTACACATACTAGAACTTTATTTATAATCAAGTCAAATGAGACCCAGTTGAATAGGGGAGCAATTCAAGCTCCCTGGAGCCTCTAATTATGTTTGGCATTGCAGATTCTGAATAAGATGAATTTTAAGCTTTTCCCAATAAAGACTATGTTAAACTTTGGACTCATAGTGCTCAGACCCACGGATCTCTGTACCTTCATTTGTACACACTTGAATCTTAATGTACTACTGAGGCTTGATGCAAATTATAACTGCATTTCTATTGTTGGTTCTTAATGAGATTCTTCAAGCGTCCTCCCCATTGAAGCCCTATTAAAACTTTGTACCCCAAGTTCTTTTAACCACTGTTCCCCAGGACAACTATTCCTACAAACTTAGAGGGAGTGTTGGGATCCCGCTAACATGTTTAACCCCGCCACATACTTAATGTATGTGTCTGTCCCAAGTCTTTAATTTACATATTTGTTTTTCGTTTATTTTTGTACATAAAATAGGCCGCTAGTTTTTCTCGTTTGAATTGTATTACATTTGTCATTTCGGGGCCTTTTATAGCTGACTATGCGGTATGGGCTGTGATCATTGTTGAAGGCCGTACGGTTACCTATAATTGTTAATTTCTGTGTCATTTTGTTTCTTGTGGAGAGTTGCGTTTTTGAACAAACCAGCGTATCCCAAAGCCTTGATAAACTCTGTAGGCCCCAAATAAGACGAAAAAACATCAAAATTGGAGAGAAAACTGAAAATAAATGGTTTCTAACCTCAGGGATATTAACCCTTGGCATGCTGAATTGTTATCAGAAATTGTCTAAATTTCGTGTGTTTGTAAAAATATGCAAATGATATGCAAATGCTGATGCTGATGCATACTGATTGCATTAAATCTAAGATAGCCAAGGGTTAATATCCCTGAGGTTAGAAACCATTTTTTTCAGTTTTCTCTCCAATTTTGATGTTTTTTTCGTCTTATTTGGGGCCTACAGAGGTTATCAAGGCCTTGGGATACGCTGGTTTGTTCAAAAACGCAACTCTCAACAAGAAACCAAATGACACAGAAATTTACAATTAAAGTCACCGTACGGCCTTCAACAATGATCACAGCCCATACCGCATATTCAGCTATAAAAGGCCCCGAAATGACAAATGTAATACAATTCAAACGAGAAAAACTAGCGGTCTATTTTATGTACAAAAATAAACGAAAAACAAATATGTAAATTAAAGACTTGGGACATACACATACATAAAGAATGTGGCGGGGTTAAACATGTTAGCGGGATCCTAACCCTCCCCTTAAGTTTGTAGGAATAGTTGCCCTGGAAAAAAGTGGTTAAAAGAACTTGGGGTACAAAGTTTTAATAGGGCTTCAATGGGGAGGACGCTTGAAGAATCTCATTAAGAACCAACAATAGCAATGCAGTAATAATTTGCATCAAGCCTCAGGAGTTACTGTACATTAAGATTCAAGTGTGTACAAATGAAGGTACAGAGATCCGTGGGTCTGAGCACTATGAGTCCAAAGTTTAACATAGTCTTTATTGGGAAAAGCTTAAAATTCATCTTATTCAGAACCTGCAATGGAAATGCAGGACTTCATAATTTACACAAATCTGTACATGCCAAACATAATAAGAGGCTCCAAGGAGCTTGAATTGCTCCCCTATTCAACTGGGTCTCATTTGACTTGATTATGAATAAAGTTCTAGTATGTGCAAGTCTGAGGTGCAAGTGAATAACTTTAATTAAGCTTGTGTGCATAAAGTGTTCATTATTCTAAAAAAAAAGAAAAGATAAATTTGTTTCCCCTACAAACTTTGCTTTTACTGACAACCATTTTGAAATGCCTATCGCATCAAAAAGTGAAAAGTTTAACTATAAGGTTGCCGTTATTATCACATAGCGGTCAGGAGTCTGTAATTCAGTGGTTGTCATTTGTTGCTGTGTTACATATTCGTTTTCCGGTCTTTGTTTGTACATTATTAAAACCGTTATTTTCACTCGTTTGAATTAAATTGTTAAACAGCTGTCATGTCGGGGACTCTCCCTCTGGTATAATTATGTCGTAAATACGACATATTGTCGAAATTACGACATAATATGTCGTAATAACGACATAATATGTCGTTATTTCGACATCGCTGAATAATTTGTCGAAATAACGACATAATTATGTCGTAATTTCGACATAATATGTCGTATTTACGACATAATATGTCGTATTTTCGACATAATTTGTCGAAATAACGACATCATTATGTCGTAATTTCGACATAACATGTCGTATTTACGACATGATATGTCGTATTTACGACATGATATGTCGTATTTACGACATGATATGTCGTTATTTCGACATCGCTGATGTCGTTATTACGACATAATTTGTCGAAATTACGACATACTATCTCGTAATTACGACATAATATGTCGTTAATACGACATAGCGATGTCGTTATTATGACATAAGGTTGTCGTTATTACGACATAATATGTCGTTAATACGACATAATGATGTCGTTATTACGACATAAGGTTGTCGTAATTACGACATACTATCTCGTTATTACGACATAATATGTCGTTAATACGACATAGCGATGTCGTTATTATGACATAAGGTTGTCGTTATTACGACATAATATGTCGTAATTACGACATAATATGTCGTTAATACGACATAGCGATGTCGTTATTACGACATGCGATGTCGTAATTACGACAAGCGATGTCGTTATTACGACATACTATGTCGTAATTACGACATAAAATTTTTTTTTTGACTGGCCCTTATCGGCTTCCGTAGAAAAGAGACTATCAAAAATAATACGTTGATGAAAAACCAACAAAACCATGACAAAAAAACGAAAACGTCAAAAAGACGAGAACAAAAATCTACAAAACACTACATGAAATAAAGACTTAAAAACAAGAGCTCCACAAAACTTGGGTGTTGATCTCCGGTGCTCTGGAAGGATAAGCATATCCTGCACCACATTTAACACCCCTCATGTTGACAAGAACAATGTCGATGACAAGTCCTATTCAGTGATGTCATAATCTAGGAAAAGAGGATGGGATTGTGGTTACGACAATTGGAACATATCTTTGGTCATCTGTGACTCGGATATTCTGTAACAGTCAACCAAATTCAAGATGGTAGCAACCCTCTATCCAGGAAATTATGATAGGAAACGGAAGCTATGGAACTTCGTATCAACTGGGAGAGATATACACAATATGCAGGCGCTGTTTGGATTTTGATACATATAAATGGAAAGTGCACAATAGGAAAGCTGAAATCATCTCTTCTGTTGTAAAGTTTAGTTTTCAACAGATCCTCTTTTCAATTTCTCAATTTAAGTCAAAATATGAGTCACACTTAACTGTATCTTTTGTATCTTTTATTTAATTTTCGATGGGATACGTGTGTAGTACTAATAATAGTATAAAGGTTGAAGAGTTCAGATGTGTTATACTATTATACGATAAAAGAGACTTATATTGTATGTACTCTATCAGATATTTGGGATTTTTTAGAATTCATCCGTTTCACAATGCTCACAAAGTAAAGAGGTTTCACCATTACTCCCAAGCCCGGTTGTAATTGCTGATAAAATAGATGTTAGTAATTTGGATACAGGTCAGTGGAGAATTTGGCAGACAAAGCAATATGAATATAAAAAATTAGAAGATGTGGTTTGAATGAGACAAATATCTAACAAAAAACAAATGAAGTAATGTATACAATTATAGGTACTGTACGACCTTCAACAATGAGAAAAATCCATACCGTATAGTCTGCTGTAAAAGGCCCCGGCATGAAAAATATGAATCAATTCAATTGAGAAAACTAACGGCCTAATTTATATCAAAACAATTTACGAAAAAAAAATATGACAGACATGAACCAACGACAACCACTGAACTACATGCTCCTGACTGAGACAGACACAAATTTGTAACGTCACTAACTTGTATGTGATTTGGGTATCCAGTACAGTGAAGGAAAATCAAGTTCCTCATCGTTGGTCTAAATTCCAAAGGAAAATAGAACAGACCTATAATTTTTCAGGATTTCCTCTTTTGTAAGTGTCGTTGGAATACGTTGGTTTTCCAATTGAATTTTCAATACCTTGTATTTTTTAGATCAGCCAGTAACTCAGCATAGAGTTGTAATTGGCGATAATGTTAGACTTGCGTGCTATACAAATCGAAGTTTGCCCAGACCGGTAGATGTTGAATGGTTTAAATCTGTAGACGGAAACAATACACGTGTTAATCTCACAGCTGACGTCAGTAAATATGGCGGTGGAACAATATCTAAACGCAGCCTGACAATATATCGTACCAACTTTGATGACACAGCAGATTATTCCTGTCGGACCAATAATACGGCCCATGTTGTAAACCAAGAGTTCCATCACGTCTCAGTTGAAGGAGGTATAAATAAATAGTTAGAATTTTATTTACCAAGCAAAGGCTCGCGAGAGAGCATTGCTACACACATTGACATAAGATATCAAATATCATTACATCTAATGTCAATGTTAGGGGTATATATTCATTTACCGCTATAATCAAATATTGTTTAATTCAATTATTAAAAATCTTCGACGGATATGGCATGGTATTGGTTGCAAAAATTTGATATTTTTCATTTAAATGCAATATTTCTTATTTAATTGGTATATTTCTTCATTTAAATGCAATATTTTTTTATTTGAATGGTATATTTTTTCATTTAAATGCAATATTTTTTATTCAAATGGTATAATTTTTCATTCAAATGGTATAATTTTTCATTCAAATGGTATAATTTTCATTCAACTGCAATAGTTTTTATTCAATTGGTATAAAATGTCATTTGAATGCAATATTTTTTATTCAATTGGTATAGTTGTTTTTTTATTTATATGCAATAATTGCATTATGGGAAGTTCTTTGACGTCATAAGGTCAAATTTGCAACAACGTTTGTGATTGGTCGGAAATTGTTTTGATTTCTCCCCTTTCTTTCTAAACATGGGTGACCAAGAATTAAAAAACGCGTCAGAATATCGCCCTTCTAACTAAATCTAACGTTCATGCGAGTCCTGCACTGGCTGTTAAAATCTTGTGGTCATAACTAGTATTTCTATTGCAAAATTTCGATGGTCAAAACGTTCGGTCCACTTTTCAAAAACCGTTTCATTGTATATGGATTTATATGCAAATTTATCGGTTTTTTTAAATAGATTAGACACCGTTGGTTTTCCCGTTTGAATGGTTTTACACTACTAATTTTTTGGGGGCCCTTTATAGCTTGCTGTTCGGTTTGAGCCAAGGCTCCGTGTTGAAGACCATACGTTGACCTTTAATGGTTTACATTTACAAATTATGACTTGGATGGAGAGTTGTCTCATCGGCACTCATACCACATCTTCTTATATCTATATACAACATAAACCAGACTTTTCTCAGACTGTTTTCTTTTTTTTAATAAATCCTTTGTCGCGCGTTGTGTACTGATTGATAACTCAGTCTGGGAGAACAAGATTTATTTCAGTACCAGTTGTAATTAGGTTTGAGCAAACTTCCAGTAATTGCAAATACTCTTATGTCGGTGCTTTGTGTCTATTGTCTTAATGTTAGTTTTTTGTGTGTCTCGTAACGATCTTTTGAGTTAATTTGCTGATTTGTGCAGGTTGTTATTTTATTGTATTGTTACACCACTGTCCCAGCTTCGGGATGGGTTGCTCACAAACATGTTGTTGTACTGTTACACCGCTGTCCCAGATTAGGGGGAGGATTGGGATCCCACTAACATGTTTAACCCCGCCACATTCTGTATGTATGTGCTTGTCCCAAGTCAGGAGACTGTAATTCAGTGGTTGCCGTTTGTTGCTTTGTTATACATATTTGTGTTTCGTTCATTTTTTTGTATATTAATTCGGCCGTTAGTTTTCTCGATTGAATTGTTTTACATTTTTGATTTCGGGGCCTTTTATAGCTGACTATGCGGTGTAGGCTTTGCTTATTGTCGAAGGCCGTACGGTGACTTATAGCTGTTGATTTCTGTGTCATTTGATCTCTTGTGGAGAGTTGTCTCATTTGCAATCATACCACATCTTCGTTTTTATATCCACCCTGCCATATTCTTTATTTGCCTGTCCAAGGGATGGAGCCTGTAGTTTAGTGGTTGTCGTTGGTTCCTGTCTCGACTCATATTTGATATTTTGTAAATTGTTTTGTTATGTATAATTAGGCTGTTAGTTTTTTCGGTTGAATTGTTCACACTCTCATGTCGGGCCTTTTATAGACGACTTTACAGTATCAGGTTTTTGTCATTGTTGAAGGCCTTACGATTGTCTACAAAAAGCATTTGTCTACATGACGGCAAAAAGCTCTACAGAGGTTATGTTTGTAGTATTTCATGTAACCCGACTTAAAATAAATTTTTCTTATCTTATCTTATCTTATCTTATCTATAATTGCTTACATCCACTTCATATTTGAACTCCGGTGGATAGTTGCCTTATTAGCAATCATATGCCATCTCTTCATTTTTATATTATATACGTGACTTCTAAACTCGTGTTTTCCAAAACAAGCATGAAATAATTTTTACTGGGCGTTAAAATTAGCAACAAACAATCAATCAATTTAAACTTGTGTTAGATAAGAGGAAAACCATTTGATATTTATTTATTTGTTGGGATGGGGGACAGAAGGATTTCATATATGAATATGGTTGCCTGGTAAGAGCTGAAAAATAGGCATGATTAGCGACAGATTGAAATGAATAATAATGCCCTCTCTTCCCTTCCCCATCCTTCATCTATAAATTTAAACTGACCACCACGGAATACCCCAGTAGTGTTGAAAGTAGCGTAACTGTTATTGTCCGTGTAGTTCTTATATTTATCCAGCTTATCGTCCTACAGGGATGTAATACTAAGGCTGTCATACCATAAAAACATTTATAAAACAGCTCACATTCTAATATATCTGCATTCATAAATTTATTAATTTCATTTAGACTAAACGACGCCATGTTTGTTATGTGCCTCTGCCGTCAACCTATCAAAAAAGAAGAGGTGGAAGAGAGCCAGAAGATCTTCCCAATGCAAAAAAAAACAAAACAGAAATGGACTTCTTCTGGCTCACTTCCGAAGAACAATATAAAAACGCGCCCCATTGATATGTTTTAAAAACGCCTTGCCCCTACCCTTTTTTCCCAAAAAATGGCATTATTAAATATATAAACATATATATAATCATCAAAATTAAAATGCTATTGTATTTTTATAAGACCTACTTTATTACATGACCTGGGACTAATGACATCTATCTATAAGTCCTAGCATACATTAATTATTATAATATGAATATGTTTCTTGTTTTAATAACCACATATGATGCTATGCATGAGTCACCATTTATCAGGGCATGAATTGGGTTTACATAGAGAGGATAAGGGACGACATCAGAAAATCAATGAAGGATAAAAAACTTAATTCAAATAGTTTGTTTTGTTTTTTTTTTTTTTGGGGGGGGGGGGGTCAAAATTGCTGCAAGTTTTGTTTAATTAACATCGATTTTATATATATCCTTATTGGTCAATCAATTTTTTCCCAAATTAAGTTAAGAAGGGGGGGGGGGGGGGTAGGGGTCAGTGAAAAAAACTATATGAAATAAGTTTTTTTATCCTACATTGAACTTTTGATGTCGTCCCTAATGTGCAAAAAAATAGATAAGGGGCGGGACCAAACCTATAGATAACATAATAAAGAAATGATGAAATATACAGAATACGTTGATTGACTTTTGGTTGCCTTATGTCCAGTGGCAATTATGTCACGCATGTTTAGGACAAATATAATAGAGATCAAAGGATAGAGAATAGAGTGAAATGGTAAAAACTAAAAGATATAGAATTATAGAAACGATCTTTGATCTGAAACCCCTACCCTCACACACACACCATAACCATTACTGCCAATACTCGCATATATACATCTCTATACAAATATCTAAATTTGAACCTACTCCCCCCCCCCCCTCTAGACACCGAGGTTTTGGATCCGCCCCTGTTAAATGTGTCTAATTATATATATTTTGTACGGGTGTAGAAAATAACTAAACGTACAATCATATAATTTGTTGGATACCTAATTATATTATATAATGTGTCACAAAATAAACTTGTATACCCCCCTTCCCAATGCAGCATTGAAAAGTAAATCATTTAAAAGTCCTGAAGATAAAATATGTTTTGAAATATGCCCTGCATACTTATTTATGCAAAGACGTATAGTAATTATTGAACTACTGTGGGGCTTGAAAAAAAATCTATTTAAGGGATTCGGAGACGAGAACAGTAAAAAAAAGCTCAGCAACGAATCCTAAATGTAAAATGATTTGCAGCATAAGACATGGGAGCACATATTATAGATAGTATTAAATATGAAGTTCACGCCTCATATAGTGAAGTCCTATGTCATGGGACTATTGTTGTAACATGGGTTAGTAACTGGTTCCAATTTATCCTGAATTGTCTTTATTAAAGAATTAGTTCCGGAGTATAACAGCTTATGTCTCTACTTGTGGGTTTCTGGTTCTGCTGTCGTAATTAGGTGATTTTTTTTCTACATGTAGTAAAAAAGAGGGGGCTTAGTCCAAATAATTTTAACGTCCTGGATGCTTTTAATTCTTTTTTCATGTGTGCCTTCCTGCAACGTCTCTGAGGATCAAGAAAAGTAAAAAATGATATAGCACTAAAGAACGTCATGATTACATGTATCTGGGCTTAGAAGGGGCAGGGGGGCTAGCTATGTATTTTTTTTTATTTCAATGTGTAGACTGTAGGAGAGTTTCTTCAGAAAAGGTTTTCATTGGAGGTGTTTTTGCCATGCACGCAGGCATCTGTTTCTATCCATGAACAAGTTGTGTGTCAAATTAATTATTATTACTTGTCACTCGCATTTTTTGCTCGTCCTGGCCATTATTGGCATTAACAGCCAGTGCACGAACTCGCACGAACGCCAAATTTAGTTAGAGGGGCGATATTCTGACGCGTTTTTTAATTCTTGGTCACTCAAGTTTAGAAATAGAAAGAAAGGGCAGAAATCCAAACAATTACCGACCAATCACAAACGTTGTTGCAAATTTGACCTTATGACGTCAAAGAATTTCCCATTATGCAATTATTGCATATAAATAAAACACTACTATACCAATTGAATAAAAAATATTGCATTCAAATGACATTTTATACCAGTTGAATAAAAAATATTGCATTTGAACGAAAATTATACCATTTGAATGAAAAATTATACCATTTGAATGAAAAATTATACCATCTGAATAAAAAATATTGCATTTGAACGAAAATTATACCATTTGAATGAAAAATTATACCATTTGAATGAAAAATTATACCATCTGAATAAAAAATATTGCATTTGAACGAAAATTATACCATTTGAATGAAAAATTATACCATTTGAATGAAAAATTATACCATCTGAATGAAAAATTATACCCTTTGAATGAAAAATTATACCATCTGAATAAAAAATATTGCATTTGAACTAAAATTATACCATTTGAATGAAAAATTATACCATTTGAATGAAAAATTATACCATCTGAATAAAAAATATTGCATTTGAACTAAAATTATACCATTTGAATGAAAAATTATACCATTTGAATGAAAAATTATACCATCTGAATGAAAAATTATACCATTTGAATGAAAAATTATACCATCTGAATAAAAAATATTGCATTTGAACTAAAATTATACCATTTGAATGAAAAATTATACCATTTGAATGAAAAATTATACCATCTGAATGAAAAATTACACCATTTGAATGAAAAATTATACCATCTGAATAAAAAATATTGCATTTGAACTAAAATTATACCATTTGAATGAAAAATTATACCATTTGAATGAAAAATTATACCATCTGAATAAAAAATATTGCATTTAAATGAAAAAAATATTTGAACTAAAATTTTACCATTTGAATGAAAATTATACCATTTGAATGAAAAATTATACCATTTGAATGCAAAATTATACCATCTGAATAAAAAATGTTGCATTTAAATGAAAAAATATACCATTCAAATAAAAAAATATTGCATTTAAATGAAGAAATATACCAATTAAATAAGAAATATTGCATTTAAATGAAAAATATCAAATTTTTGCAACCAATACCATGCCGTAGACGGAAGGGAGGCTTTGTTAGAAAGACACAAAAGCTTTCATAAAAATTGTATCTAGTTATTCAACTAAGGTCAAATTTTAAGTTTTGAAAAGACTATAAAAAGAGTTATGGCCACTTCCCCACACACAGAGTCGATCATAATCGGGAAATTGTTGATGTCCAAAATCAATATTAAAGGCCTGAAACAAAAGACTCTCAATCTTGCTTTTTATATTCAATATTCCGTATTAACAGAATATACGTTATTGTTTTGTAAATTAATCCTACATCTTTATTTTTAATAGCATACATATGTCTTTTTGAGATATTTTGTAATTTTACTATTTAGGTGAAAACATTTTCATGAACACTATAATTCCAAAAATTTCCACATTATGTTCTTTAAGATTCATTGTTTGTATTTATTTTGGATAGGATTGCCGATATATATGATTACGTCTATTGAATACTCAAATACGTCGTCCATTCTTGTCTTTTGTGTCGGGAGTGGGTCTCATTCACGTTCTCTATTTTTAAAGTAGTATTCAATAAGATAGAATTCCTGCAAGACAAATGGGAAATTAAATGCTCTCCCCCAATGAACAAAGGCCTTAACCGAGACCTCTAACATACATATAAGGTGACCTAAAAGAATCGACGATTTATTATATAATGTTATAAGTAAACTTTACAAAGTAGAAACGGAACGGAGGACGACTATGAATTCTGGCTTGTTGTGATGTAACAAATTATCAAGCACACAAATATCTAACCGAAAACTGGTTAAAACTAATTATAATAGTATTTTAAGAATAAACGAACAAACATAACAAAATACAAGCACTTAGATGAATTTTCGACAAACTAAATTATGAAATTCATAATATAGAGAAACATTTTTTTGTTATAGTAAAACATGAATGCAGTTCCATGAACGAAAATCTAGTTAGACTGAATTACATAGGAGTTGCTGTAGAAGTTGTGTTCACGGATCAGACCAATGCAGAATGTCCCTTTTTACCTGTAGATGATAAATTTGATAACTTCAAACTCACAGTAGGATTAGGGAATGTAAACAGTACCAGTAACGTCAGCAATGAATGTAATTTTACGGTAAGATAAACATACGCATATATATTTTAATAACAGACAATTATTGTCTCTTTGAAGGCAAACAGTTGATTATGTTGCCTATATAATTGTTTAATTCGTAGTTCTAGTTCTACTTAAAGTATTAGTGCATCATGCTTTGTTCGGTACGCCACTCTCTAATCTTTTATGAATGTGGTACCTAAAAGTAGAATGGATATTAATTTTAAGTGGCGCGAGTAGCAGCAAATAACTTAATTTCAATTTAATTTGCACATTTGATGAGGTATAAAGGTATTTCCAACTATTTGTTAATAGTATAGGGAGCAGATCTGATATCTAACTTTACAACATAGAAATACAATTATTACGAATCCATAACATATTTTCGACATAAATATTTCATTTGATGATTGTTGATCGACAACTTTGGCTTCTAATTAACTTTCGGATTTTGATTACGATGTTTACTGATTGCGATCTTGATATACAATCATGGAGTACGTGAAAGATAAGTGAGATGATAGAGAGATGTTTAATTGTTTTGTTTTATATTTCCATCCGTTGAAATTTTTTAATTAGGCTTTGTCATATCAGTTGATAAATGAATTTGTTAATTAAAATTTTCTTTTCAAAAATGCTTAATACTTTCTTTCTTCCATGCTTGTTTACTTGTTCTTTCGACACGGTTTTTTCATGCCCACTTGCGTTGTCCGATTGTTGATTTTCTATTTAGAAGTGTCATGTTTAAGGTCACTGCATACGAAAAGCTGTCGGCGAATTAGTGTACAGAAGACAATAATTCAATAATACATTTCTGAAGACTTGGAACTTAGCCATTCAAGTATATTATTCACCTTTTTTTGTTAAGTTTCAAGGATCATGTGAATTTAAAGACAACCACAGAGATAAGTTTTGTTAAGTTTCAAGGATCATGTGAATTTAAAGACAACCACAGAGATAAGTTTTGTTAAGTTTCAAGGATCATGTGAATTTAAAGACAACCACAGAGATAAGTTTTCTTTGCTTGGGACAGATTCATTAACATGTAGTGGAGTTAAAGTAGTTTACTGTACTTGTGTTGACCTCATGACCATTCGTGTTCTTGTTGGTGACATTTTTCTGGTAACATAATTGTTTATTTTTTGTAGCTTTTAATTGTGGATAAGAACCCAACAACAACAAAACGAGAGAAAGAGACAATGATAAGGCTTTAGAAAGTACTTGATCGACAATAGATCACTAGGGTCTTTGTAGAGTTTTTAACAATCTAAAGAGCTTGACACTCCCTCAATTAAATCGTATCCATTTCGATAGTCCTTTACTTCGAAATTTGAGAAAACTCTCTTACCAGTTGATCATATTTTCAATACAACCTCGCGGTATCTCCGGTAAAGCTATCAATGTAATACTTTAATGCTCTACATAAATGCATTAAAAAAAATAAAATATGAACAAATTTAATTTCAGAAAACATCAGAAGATTATTTTTCAGGAAGAGTAATAGTGAGACGAACGATGAAGGGTTTTGATACTACAACAGACTTCGCACTTGATGTCTACTGTTCATATGTTGTCACTACAAACAGTATGGCACAAATTACCACTGAGAGTAAAAAGTAAGTTTAAATATTCACAACTTAACACTCCGGTTTTTTGCTGGGGTTAGTGTAACAGTTGCTCAGTCTTTAGTTTTCTTTGTATGTATTTTCTGTACTGTTGTTTGTATTTTGTAATGTTTTTAAAGGCAGTGCTTTAATGCCTTTCTAGTTGCCGTGTTAATCTTTCTTTCCGCGATATCCAACTTATCTACGTGGGGGGTCATTAGGCTCCAAGTAGATCCGGAAAATGTTGATTCTCTCCTCTTCTTATTGTGATATAAAATGTTTTTTGTTTCATTTCATTTACATTGGGAAATAGAGAAACGATCAATGTGTTTTGTTAGTTTTAAAAACTTTTGATATATTTGTATTTTACATTATAAGCAGTCAACCGATTGACAAACTAGAATTATTTGAATTCCGTGTGTAAAGAGGTCGGGTTAATTTCGAGTGTTATCTGCAATCTAGATGTTTATAAATCATTTCAGTCGTTGATATAATAATTAAAGGTCGACTGAACATGAATTATATTATACAATTTAAAGCGCATTTCTGTTTATGCACGCGAGCCCGTCTAACGTTATCGTTATTTCGCAGTTAAATAAAGTAGCAAATTATCGTTCCTGAATAGGTGGCGCCGTGGTAGCCGATCCTGTTCTTCAACTTCCGGTTTCTGCACTGTGCAACTATTACAGTTGCATTTTTAATTAACGATGCCAAGTACTTGTTGTTGTGTACCTGGATGTCATTTAAGAGGAGGACATGCATTTCCAAATGACTTAAAAAGAAGGAAAAGATGGATCAACGCCATGGCCCATACGCAGTTTGGACGAGAACACGGTGAAATCGTGGAGTCCATCTCAATCAGCTGTTGTTTGCAAGGCACATTTTACTGAAAAAGACTACGTGCAGGAAACTATTCATGGTAAAACTCTATTTTCTTTTTAAAATATATAGTTATATATGTAATCGCCATGCGAATAAACCAAAGTCTGTTTACAACCGCAATTATCGTTTTAGAATAAAAGGGGGTGGTTAATTCAAGACGTCATAATTTTTTGAATTACGATTCAATGTGATCTGTTTGAGATTTTTTGGTGCTTGCTACAATTATAATGATTTCTTACAAGAGGTATATCATACTGAGAATTATTTTAGCAGTAATTATGCTAATGTAGTAATGACAGGAATGCATAAGCTATGCCTCATAGACTTTCTTGAAAAATATCAATGACAATGTTAACAGGAACAAAACAATGACATACATTTACTCTCATCTATATTATAGTTATTTAGGTACAAACAATGTATGTTTGTTGCATACGTCTCTCATTGTTTGTCCTTTGGATTTACATAACATACATTTTGATGTACATTGAATCAGGCTAACATAGTTTTATCCAGATTGTAATGAATAAATCTAGTTAATATTTTGCCAGGTAGTACAAAGTATGCATTGCTAATGGAAGTTCATTTAATTATCAAAAAACTAATGTTTTATAACCTTTTTCAGAGCGCAAACCCTCCATACAGAGACTTAAGTCTACTGCCATTCCCAGCCTATTTTCCTGGATCAAGCAAGAGACTGAATCGTCCGCAAAAAGAAAAATAAGGGCAGTTTCCTGTGAAAACAAAAGAACTAAACTTGATGAATATTGTAGTAGAAATCTAGAGGAAAGTTTTGATTGTAAAGTTGGTTTTCCTGAAGAAGTCATTCATACTGCAGACAGGATTTATGACTGTCAACCACCAACTGCCGAGCTAATGTTGAGCTTCACAGATGGAATTACGCAAACACCATCAATGCCTATATTTTCAGCAGAAAATTTTGAAATGAAGACATGTGACACAGCCATGCATTTTTATACCAGTTTAGAGTTGTATACTAAATTTTTATTTGTTTTGACCACACTTGGTCCAGCAGCACATTGTTTGAGATACATATATTTTCAAATTGATAGGGTGTCATTTGAAAATCATTTTTTTTATGACTTTGATGAAATTGAGGCATTATACAACCAACTTTGAACTGTCTAGATTCTAGATTGAAACTAGTGTTAAGAATATTGTGTAAACATGGATTGTTTTTATGTCTAAACAGTGGCGTGAGGCTAACACTTGGCCATTTAGTGGTTTAGTCAGGTATTTTTCGCCATCCAACTTCAAATTAAAGTTTCCTACAACAATGTACAACTTGGATTATTATTGACAGCACAGAATATCCCCTGATAAAACATAAAGCTCCTAGAGCTCAGGCAACCTTTTCATCATATAAAAACAGAAACACTGAAAATACTTGTATGTTCGACACCTGGTGGTTTAGTCAACTACAAAAATGTATGTCTCTAATGCATTTGTTGGTTGTACCAGTGACTGTGAAATAGTTGAAAGATGTAGAATACATGTGTAGTTCAATTATGTGATCCAGGTGACAGTGTGATGGCAGACAAAGGTTTAAATGTGCAAGATTTGTTTGCTCACTTTTTTCAAAAAAAGAAACAGAATTAGTTCCAAAACTCTTATACAGGATAGAAAAGTCTCCAATTAACACGTGCACATAGAGCTAATTATTGGACTTGGCAAAACATACAAAATTCTAATAAATCCTATGAATAGAACTGAAACAAAACTTTCATCTGAAATAACATTTAGTTGTTTTATGTTGTGTAATTTTAGAAGTTGTATTGTGCCAAAGGATGCATAAATAAAAGTGACGCAATGAAGTTTGTTCTGATATATATTGTCGAGCCTGCGACTTTTGTCGCAGAAAGCTCGACATAGGGATAGTGATCCGGCGGCGGCGGCGGCGTTAGCTAACTTCTTAAAAGCTTTATATTTTAGAAGGTGGAAGGTCTGGATGCTTCATACTTTGTATATGGATGCCTCATGTTACGAAGTTTCCGTCAGTCACATGTCCAATGTCCTTGACCTCATTTTCATGGTTCAGTGACTACTTGAAAAAAAAGTTAAGATTTTTTGTAATGTTAGATTCTCTCTTATTATAAGTAATAGGATAACTATATTTGGTATGTGCGTACCTTGCAAGGTCCTCATGCCCGTCAGACAGTTTTCACTTGACCTCGACCTCATTTCATGGATCAGTGAACAAGGTTAAGTTTTGGTAGTCAAGTCCATATCTCAGATACTATAAGCAATAGGTCTAGTATATTCGGTGTATGGAAGGACTGTAAGGTGTACATGTCCAACTGGCAGGTGTCATCTGACCTTGACCTCATTTTCATGGTTCAGTGGTTATAGTTAAGTTTTTGTGTTTTGGTCTGTTTTTCTTATACTGTATGCCATAGGTCTACTATATTTGGTGTATGGAATGATTGTAAGGTGTACATGTCTAGCGGGCAGGTGTCATTTGACCTTGACCTCATTTTCATGGTTCAGTGGTCAAAGTTAAGTTTTTGAGTTTTGGTCTTTTTTTCTAATACTATGTGCAATAGTTCAACTATATTTGGTATGTGCGTACCTTGCAAGGTCCTCATGCCCGTTAGACAGTTTTCACTTGACCTCGAACTCATTTCATGGATCAATGAACAAGGTTAAGTTTTGGTGGTCAAGTCCATATCTCAGATACTATAAGCAATAGGTCTAGTATATTCGGTGTATGGAAGGACTGTAAGGTGTACATGTCCAACTGGCAGGTGTCATCTGACCTTGACCTCATTTTCATGGTTCAGTGGTTATAGTTAAGTTTTTGTGTTTTGGTCTGTTTTTCTTATACTGTATGCCATAGGTCTACTATATTTGGTGTATGGAATGATTGTAAGGTGTACATGTCTAGTGGGCAGGTGTCATCTGACCTTGACCTCATTTTCATGGTTCAGTGGTCAAAGTTAAGTTTTTGAGTTTTGGTCTTTTTTTCTAATACTATGTGCAATAGTTCAACTATATTTGGTATGTGCGTACCTTGCAAGGTCCTCATGCCCGTCAGACAGTTTTCACTTGACCTCGACCTCATTTCATGGATCAATGAACAAGGTTAAGTTTTGGTGGTCAAGTCCATATCTCAGATACTATAAGCAATAGGTCTAGTATATTCGGTGTATGGAAGGACTGTAAGGTGTACATGTCCAACTGGCAGGTGTCATCTGACCTTGACCTCATTTTCATGGTTCAGTGGTTATAGTTAAGTTTTTGTGTTTTGGTCTGTTTTTCTTATACTATATGCAATAGTTCAACTATATTAGGTGTATGGAAATATTTTATGATCTATTTGGCAGTCACGCAGGTTTTATTTGACCTTGACCTCATTTTCAAGGTTCATTGCTCAGTGTTAAGTTTCGTGTTTTGGTCTGTTTTTCTTAAACTATAAGCAATAGGTCAACTGTATTTGTTGTATGGAAGAATTGTTAGCTGTACATGCCTGCCTAGCATGGTTCATCTGACCTTGACCTCATTTTCATGGTTCATTGGTCAATGTTTAGTTTACTTGGTTAATGTTAAGTTTATGTGACAGTTGTAATAAAGCTTTATATTTAGGACTATCAACATAATATCAATGATTAGTAAAGAAGGCGAGACATTTCAGCGTGTGCACTCTTGTATATAAATATTATTTACAATTACATGCACATGTAAATTGTAATGCATAAAAAAATAAGGAGATGTGGTATGATATTCAGTGAGTTTATCGAACCAAAGTGCATAAGAAATGGGTTAAGCAGTTACAGGTGTTACTGTCACCGTACAATCTCCAACAATTAGAAAAACTTGTACCGTGTAAAAAATTTCAGAGATCTTACAACTAAGTTTGACTTTGGTGAATTGTTTATATCTGTTGATGTAAATATAAAAAAGAAGATGTGGTATGATTGCCAATGAAACAACTCTCCACAAGAGACCAAATGACACAGAAATTAACAGTTATAGGTCACAGTACGTCCTTCAACAATGAGCAAATCACATACCGCACAGTGAGCTATAAAATGCCCCGAAATGACAATGTAAAACAATTCAAACAAGAAAACTAACGGCCTAATTTATGTACAAAAAATGAACGAATAACA